AACCAGTTTTACTATACATACTATATATGTGTATATATATATAAATGTAGATTTGTAAAATTACGATGGCATTGACATAAGATACACATAATGATAATTACAAATTGCCAATTAACTTTGACGCCTATAATCTTTTCACCGTGAAAGATTGAAAATATCATCTTCATCTATTGATTACACAAGCTTGTATTTGCTCGCGAAAGGCATGTATCTATAAATAGCATCATGTGTCAACACAATTCCTCGTGTAATTCAAGGGTACAGAATTCTGCAATATTCAGTTGCATCGACCCTGATGGCTTATTATTTAAACTATGCTTTTCGACTATTTAAATAAATAGATATTGAAAGATAAATATGAATCGAATTGATATCTCATCTACTTTCCAACACATTAATAACTTGGTAAAAACATGTACTAATATGTCAGCAGTGCCAGAGTATAAATCTGTATATAATTATTCAGTAAATACAGTAAATACAGTACTACTGAATATTTTGTTTACATTAATCAAAACTAAGAATTTAGAGTTTATTACAGAGGCATCGCGATTTAAAATTGCATCCACTTTAGGTGCAAGGACTTTTTTTTAAATTATTCCCCCTCCCCTGTTTTGGGAGCAAGGGGGTGTTGCTTACTCTCCAGTAATCCGATCGTGGCCCGAGTTGTGAAATAGGACGGCAGCTGCAGAAAAGGAGGCCGCGGTAACGCATGCATAAAACGCAGCCGCGAACAATCCCTTCGGGAACCGGCCAACTTGCTCGAGGGACCGCCGTCAACTGATCGGATCCGTTGAGCCCGGCGTGGCGAGCCTCGGTTGTTCTACGGCCTGACCCACAGCTCGGCCTGTGTCGGATTTCATGCCGCCTCGCCGCCGGATACAGCCTGACGATTCGTTCGCCGCGCGTCGGCCGCGGTTGTGAGTGGCGAACGGGCCGGTGTGTGCGTGACGCGTCGTCGCCTCCTATGTGCGACTCATAACCCCGTTGTGTCTCGCGCGAGTGCTTACGAGCGAGTACGTACGCTGGGGCATTCGTTAATACCGTTTCCGGCGCGCGCCGGGGCCGTGCGTATAGTTTCGGTTGTGTTGTGCGGTGTGTCTCGCGCGCGGCGTCTATCCGTCCGTCCGTCTATCTGTCCGTCTGCCCGGTTCTCGCGTCTCTTTCTCCGTCTCTTGTGCGCGCATCATTATTATTATCACTATCGTCATTATCATCTTCATCATCTTCTTTTTTTCTTCTTCGTCTTCGTCTTCAAGTGTAGCGTCGCGGATTCCCGCTGTTCCGCTCCTCTCGCGGGAGGTCAGCACCTTAGCATCGGTAGGTACGTAAGTGCGGAATGTGGGATTCGGGGTTGCTGCCGTTGGAACGTTGAAGACGCTGGACCCCCGAGAGAGAGAGAAAAAGAGAGAGAGAGAGAGAGAGAGGAGTAGAAGAGAGAGAGAGAAAGAAAGAAGA